CAGAAGATTCCACTCTCAACAATGGGGCTTCGACTCACTTTGGTCCTTCAAAGTAGCAATTCTTGCAGGAAATAGAAACATTAAATTTACTAATACCAAAATCTCCTATAACGATCGAGTAGCCTCAGCTAAAACCACAATCAAACATCAGCTCTTTCTTATTACAAACGTTTATACACCACCTAATATTGAAGAAAGAATCAACTTCTTCAATAACTGGGCACTAATCTCAGACATTAACTGTATCTGCATTATAGCAGGTGACTTCAATACAAATTTAAAACCAGAAAAAGACAGAATTAGTCAAGCCGCTTCTCAAAATGACCACTCCAAGGATTTACTGAGAGAATTAATGGCTGACTATATAGATACTTCTCTATTTTCTAAGGAAGACCCTTTCTTTACCTTTTCTAAGGAAAACCCTTTCTTTACCTCCTATCAAACAACCTCGGGCAATCGAAGGATGGCAACCAGACTTGACTATATCTTTATAGAGGCTAGCTATAGTTATCTTTGCACCAATACACTTACTCGATTTGGAACTCTAACCACCTCTTAGTGAAAAGCATTCTCAATTTAAAACCAAGGCACTATAACAAAGTATGCTGGAAGTTCGAAAGAAAATATTAGAACAATTCTGAACTTAAGGATAATATCATCAATGAACTTCGAAGTTTCCAAGACCCTCTAGAATGGGACCTTTGCAAATGTAAAATCTAATTAATCATTAGAGCAACCAAGTCTTCTTCACCTCCAGAGAGCAATATACAAAGATTGCAAAAAAGACTAAGTAGGTCTCAGACTGGAACAAACTACAAGAAGTCTTATCTCTATATGAGCAGGCTTCTAATGCACTTGTTGATAAATCTAAATCTACTCTCATTTCTCTTACGGCAAATGCTAGCAGAGTGGAACTGAGTGATTAATCTAGATTTAATTTACTAGTAGATACTCAAAGCAATATCACAATTCTAGGCTTTACAGTAAATTTTAAAGATGAATCTGATAAAGCCCTATGGAGCAACACAATTAAAAAAATTAAAAACAAGATTCAAGACCTCTCTCAGAGAAATCTTTCCTTCAAGGGAAAGATTCTCGCAACCAAAATGTTACTGGTTTAAAGATCTGGTACTCAGTCTACTTTCTCCCTCCAACTAGGAAACAACTCAACGAAATTGACTCTCTTATCAAAGGCTGGATTAAAAGCAATTCACGAATGCTTCCACAATACTCAACATTTCAGTGTAACTATAAAAAGGTGGTCTGTCAGCTCCTATTCTTAAGGACATGCTTGATACTAGACTTCTTACTATACTGCTCAAACTCTTTACAAGTAATACTTTCTAGACTACTACAGAAAGAAAAACTATAAGTACAAAGCTTTATAACAAGAGGAAGATCTCAGCTGCTATAGCCTTATCACAAACCCCTGCAAAACTAAAGGCTGGCCAGACAGCTGAAAGCCTTACATTACAGTATGGAGAAGATTTAAAAAAAAAATCTTTAACCAATTATACATGGCCTTGGTCTTAGAACAAATCAAAATTAGCGATATTTTAGGTAATCTGTTTATAGTAAAAGAAGTTCTAAAAAGCTTTCACACCCTCTCAAGCTCAGCCACTACTAATTCTTTGAAAAAGAACACCTCTTACGATTAGATAAAAATGAAGTGGTTACTGAACAAAAAGAAGGATATATTTTGGAAACTAACTCACAGAGCACTTCCTCTTGAATACAGGCTTATTCATATTGACCAAACCAACTTAGGAGACTGTCCTAATTGCCCTTTCATTACTCAAATGATAGAACATTTTGCTCTTAAATGTTCACTAAGCAAAGTAATCTGGGAAACAACCTACAAAGCATTTATCAATACAGATAGAGATGCTATCCCTAGAACTTTAAAAGACATCACTTCAGCAACTAACATTGTGAACACCCAAAAAAGAAAAACAGCCATTTGGCTTCATATTACAGCTATCTATGAAATATGGTGCTGGTATACCCAAGCTGGGTGGGGCGATAATATAGTTCCTCAAGAGGCAATAGCGAACATTATAACCATAAGAATCAAACATGAAATCAAACTATTACAAAAATTACTCAACAAATAAGTTCTTTCCAAATCAGAAAAAACTAACAATATTTTTAAATATATTAATCTCAATATGTAAATATGTACATTACTTTTAAAAAGAATAAATAAATAAAGTACGCTTAGATGTGCTTTAAAAAAAAAAAAAAAAAAACATCATATGATCATTTTGTATCAAAAGAAAAAAAATGTATATAAGAACCTCATTATGACTCTTAATAAGCCTCTCTCTAGGCTCTTAACTTACTAAGAGAGATCCTTTAGTTATAGGCTAGTGTTATACAATATATTAGAATTGGCTTTTTTTTTTTTTTTTTTTTAAAAAAACTGCATTTAAGCATACTTTATTTATATTACATAATTAAATTTTTTTTTTTTCAATATCCATAGATGTTATCATCTTCGGGTGTGTATGGCGCTCTTTATTTATTTATACTATTATACATCTTATTTACAATATAAATATTTACAGATATCTTGCTCTATAGTATTATTGCTTATATTTATCATCAGTACTTGTATCTCTTTTAAAATGCAGTTTCGAATTAATTTTGGTAAAATTATTTTAGGAGAGAATGAATTACCTCATTTGAATAATATGTGGTAATACCAGAATTCATATATTGTGTTTGAGTGAAGCCAAATTACCGTTTTATAGTGTCTCGAGTTTGTAAGTTTTTTGTTATATAAATTTCATCCAAAGTCGATGGAATTGGGACTCTTGGAATAATGTTCAGAAACTTGTAGGCTTCCTTCCAAATCTCTTTGCTTATTTTGCACTCCACAGCAAAGTAATGAATTGTTTGTATCTCATCTAAGCACCAGAGGCAGTCTCCAGACTCTGATAAAGATATGTGTCTTAAGCGATATCCTAGTGGAAGTGCTTTTTGATATATGTGCTAAAATATATCTTTTTTCTTGTTGTTAACTAATTTTGCTGATATCCATCTTAATTCTTTTTGATCTAATGTTGTAGGTAAAGTGGAGGTAGACTCACTTAGAATCTTTATAAGACTTTTTACTGAGAAGTCTATTTTCTGTTTATCCTCTAGAATAAGATCTTTTAAGACCCAAGGCCACTCTTGGTTGGTGTTTATTTTCTCTTTAATTTTTCTCCAGCCCATTAGATCTGATTTCCATTCCATAGGCCATACTTTCATCTTGATTGGATAAAAGGTTAGGGCTTTTAAGGCAGAAATGTTTCTTTTTTCTTTTAGTATATATGAAATCTTATTTCATTCTATTTTTGACTATTTACAGTCACTTGATAAAAGTTTTGACCAGACTGTAAGCATTCTTGCTTTAAGTATATTACTAATAATTGGGGCTTGAAGTCCACCTTGCTTGTATGAGAGTTGAAAAGTAGAGTATCTAGGTAGCATTCTTGAATTATTTTTGATTCAGATTGTGATAAGTCTGTTGATATCTACTATTTGTTTCTTTTTAGGTGGAAGCAAGTAAGCTGCATATCATATACGTGCAAAGAGAAGAGAGTTTGCTACCAATATTTTCCCTCTAAAAGAAAGGTTCCTTTGAGAGAATTTGTCTATAAATTTTTAATTTTAGTAATTGTGGTGGACCACAGTTCCTTCTTTGGCATACTATCCAGGTATATTTCATAGCCTAAAATAGTAATTGTTTCCTGTTCTCACACTTTCAGAAATTGTGACTCGTTTTTAAGTTCAACTCTTTTGATAATAGTAGTTAGCAGTCTAACTTTGTTTTGTTTTCATTGATTTTAGCATTAGATGCTTTTTCATATATGTAAAATAGGTTTAGCACTGTATCCCAATCTGAAGGACAACCTATTTCTATTGTTAGATCGTCTGCATAGGCAACTGTTTTAAGGTGTTGTTTTTGTACTGGAATTCCTCGAATTTTGGCCTCTATCGTTATTTGTAGAGGCTCAAAAGCTAGAGTGTATAAAAGAGGAGAGAGAGGATCTCTCTGTCAAACCCCTCTTTCTACTTTGAAGGGACTTGAAAGTTCACCTGAATCTACAATATGTGCTTCTTGGTTGAAAAACAGGTTTTTAATGATGTTTCTAAATTTTGTGCAAAAGTTCATTCTTTCTAGAACTGTTTGTAGATAGGTATGATTCACTCTATCAAAAGCTTTTCATTGGTCTACAAAAAGCATTCAGTATTGTTTAGAATTGTCTGTTTTATTTCTCATTGTTGTGATAATATCTAGGACTGCATCTGAGATTGATCTTCTGGCAATAAAACCTTGTTGATGACTAGGGATAAGGATGTCACAAATTTTATTTAGCCTGTTAACTAAGATTTTCATAAAAATTTTAGCATCACAGTTTACTAATAAAATTGGCTGCTAATTGTCCAGGTTGCTAAGATTTGTTGCTTTTTTAGGAATTAAAATTATTAGATTCTTGTACTATGAGGTTGGAAGAATTCCAGATCCCAGAATCTGATTGAAGATTTTCTCTAATATCGGCATTATATATTCTTCTGTAAGTTTATAAAACTCATATATAAGGCTATCTATTCCTGGAGATTTGTTATTAGGAAGTTGTCTGATAATTGAGCTAATTTCTTCCTGTGTGATAGGTTGAGTTAGACTTAGGTTTTGAGCCTTTAAAACTTGTGGGAGCTTATTGGTTAAATGATCCACTGCTTCTGAATTAATCTTCTCCTTTTTGTAGATTCTGGTATATAGTTCTTTTATGTACTGGAGCGTGTCTTTCTTCCTAGTTTGTGCGAAAAAACTAGGGACATTAACTTCAGTTATTGCTGAACTAGAGTGGTGGGCTTTGTAGTATGAGAAGTATTTTGTAGACTTTTCTCCCTGTTCGATCTATTGTACTTTAAAATGCATTTGCCATCTGTCTGCTAATAAGATAAGAGATTTCGCATGCAGAAATTCAAATCTTCGTACAATTTTGTCCTCAGGTGCTTTAGGTTTTTTTAAAGCTCTTATGATAGACTGTATGTGTAATTTGTGTAAGTCACATTCTGTTGTTTCTATAAAAGAGTTAATTTCCTCAATTATTTCCTTCTCAAGTAGTTTGTTCTTAAAGGAATTCTTGTCGAACCTCCAGCTAGAGGGTCAATTAGTGTTTTGTTCTGCTCTAAGTATACATTCGACCAAGAGGTGTTCTGAGTTTTCAAAGTACAGTCTGATGCTTGATATAAGGTGGCTATAATTTTTATCTATGAAGATATAGTCTAGACAAGTTGCCATTGTTTGGTTATTCTGCACCTTTTGATGAAAAGTAAGAAAAGGTTTCTGTTCTGCATATATTGCCAAGTCGATGTATTCTTTAACTATATCTCTGAGTTGAGCTCGTGTATTATCAATTTGAGCAGTTGATTGGCTTATTCTGTCTGTAGCCAGGTTTAAATTTGTGTTGAAGTCATCTACTAGTATGTTAATACTATTGTCCTTAAAATGTGATGACCATTTATCAAAAAAGGTTGATCTGTTTTTAATATTTGGAGAGCATAGACATTTGTAACATAGTAGGAATGCCCTTTGTATAGGAATGATAATGAAATAATCCTCTTTTCATACGAGAGTTCAATGTCTTAAAATTTTATCTCTTTTTTGCCTACCAAGATTGCTGTTCTTTCTGTCCAAATGGAGTCATATATTCATTGTTGTTTAAGGAAATTTCATATCAACTAATTGTTTAAGTTTGTTTCCTGTAACATAATGAGGTCTAAATTGTATAATTTTAGTAATGTTATTGTTTTTTGTCTCTTGTCTTGATTATTAAGTCCTTTTACATTTAGTATTGCGATTTTAATTAATGTTTTGTCACTATATAGAAAAGATGATAGAGATATGCTCTTACTGAGCTTTTGAGAAATTCTCATTACTCCATCCCTTTTTATATGGTACCTGTCTTGTTGCAATTATTTTGTTGTCATTTCTGGGTCTTTTATCTTTTTTTCTTTTTGTAAGTTATGGTGGTAAAGTCTTTATCCATTGGGTCTAATTGAGGAATATTCTATTTGTATTAGTATCAACTGATTTTAATAGTAAAGTATCTAGAGCAAGCTCATCTCTTTTAGAGAGCTCTTCTTCAGAAAAAGAACTAGCTTGACCATTTCTCTTTTGTTATTTCTCTTTTTTAGTGGCTATAGGTATAGTCTCAGTTTTTTCTTTGTGATTTTCCTCATGAGTTATTTTCATGTTATTTGTTTCTTCATCTTGAGATTTATTATATGATATTTCTATATTATTTACTTTGTCTTCTTAAGCATTCTCATATAGCTCTTCGCTATTGTTTATCTCTTCTGTAGCAGCCTCTTTTAAGATAGATTTTTCTTCAGAGAGCTGAGTATTTTTGGCTTCTTTGATTCTTTCTTTGGAAGCCTCCTTAAAAGCTTGGTAATGCTGTCGGAGTGTGACAGATTCCTGATACTGTGGGCATTCTTTTTTAATGTGGCCTTCTTGGTCACAAAAGTAGCAGACTTTTGGAGCTGCTTTTCATTCAGTAGTAATCTTGTTGTCTCTGAGGTAAGTAAATCGGAGAATTCTTTTTTCTAGATCAGTATTCTCCGTTGTTTCAAAGATCACTATTCACTGGTCAGTTAAATATGGTGTTTCTTCAATAACAAGTGATTTAATTGAAACTATTTTTCCTATGTCTTCAAAAGCATCTTTGATGAATGTAGTGATCTCCTCTTTGCTTCCTAGAGAATTGTTTTTAAGCTTTACTGGGAGGAAAGACTTGCGCAGATCTGTTGGTATATATCTAAAGTAAGTTCTGTTAAAGATATTGATACCTTTAAATGCATGGTATTTGAGTTTGTCTTCATTTGTAAAAATAATCTCCAAGTGTATACAAGTGCCTTTTTTAAAGTGCTGTTTTGCTGCCACCACATTGTGTTTAATACATTCATAAAGAGAGACTATTATTTCATTAAAGGTGCTTTGGATGTTTGATATTTCTATAATTAGGGCATTTTCATTTTTGGTTTTAATTTGGCTTCTTAGGTGAAGTCCATATAGGTTAATTGCCCTCTAATTAAATATATTTACATTAGAAATCTAATAAAATTAGTAAAATTAGTTATGTTTTTGGTCTTGTTTGGCCTAGAGTTTATGTTTTGGTTTGCTAACTTGTATAAAAGATTAAACTTGTATCTGAGTCATATCATAACTATATTAGCAATTGCTTCTTGAGGAATTGTTACTTCTCCCCATCTAGCTTGCATATATCAACACCATATTTTATATAGTGCTGTTATATGAAGCCATAATGCTACATTCCTTTTCTTAGAGTTTCTGATATTTGTAGCTTGTAATATTTCCTTTAGTGTGACTGGAACCGATTCCTTTTCTAATCCTTTAAACATTTTGTATGCAGTTTCCCATATTGTTTTGCTTATTGGACATTTAAGAGCAAAGTGCTTTATTGTTTGTGTAATGTATAGGCAGTTAGGGCAGTCCCCCAGGTTTTGTTGGTCGATATGAATTAGTTAATAGCCTAGTGGAAGTGCTTTGTGAGATAGATGCCAAAAGATATCTTTTTTCTTATTTAGAATCTATTTTGTTTTAAGCCATTTATAAGGGCTATATTCAGAATTGTTGCCATTCTGACTGTCATGTGGAAGGTCTGTTGGTGGGTTTAACTACCTATATAGATTTTCAAGAACCTTCTTGACTATAAATTGTTGTCTATCTATGTTATTGATCTTGATTTGTTCTAAAGACTATGGCCAGATGTAGTCTGCCTCAATTTTGCCTTTAAATCTTCTCCATGCTATTATGTAAGGTTTTCAATTATCAGCCCATCCTTTGGTTCTGCAGGGAGATTGAGAAAGGGCTTTGTTGAGAGTAAGTTTTCTTTTGTTATAGAGATCTAATGTTGCATTACTTCTTTCGTTATGGCCTAAAAGTATTACTTGAAAGAAGTTTAATCCAAATTGATAGTAGCTAGCATCCAGCATATCTTTAAGAATAGGGGCTGCCAGGCCTTCCTGTTCATAGCTAAGCTGAAAGACTGAGTATTGTGGCAGTATTCTAGAGTTTTTTTTAACCTAGTTTGTCAATAAAGTGTTTATTTTGTTTAGTTGTTTTCTTGTTGGCGAAAGCAGATAGGCTAGGTATCAGAATTTTGAAATTAGCAGAGTTTTGGTGGCTAGAATTTTCCCTTTGAAAGAAAGATTTCTGTGAGAAAGATCCTGTATCTTGTTTTTGATCTTCTTTGTCATGTTGGCCCAGAGAGTTTTATCTGGTTGGCCATTTGTATTAATCTCATAACCTAATATAGTAAATGTATTTTGGCTTTCATTTAAAAGCTTAAACTCTAGTTGGTTTGGTAGCTCGATTCTTCTTGCATTATCTGTTAAAGGAATTAATATAGATTTAGATTTGTTAATAATTGTGTTGGAGACTTTTTTGTATTTTGCAAGTATATTAAAAAGTGTCAACCAGTTCAAAAGTGAACCAACTCCTATCATGAGGTTGTCTGCATAGGCAGCTATTTTAAAAGCTGAGTTATTCACTAGAATACCTCTAATATTGGTATTGATCATTTGGATTAATAGGTTTATAGCAAGTATATAGAGAAGAGAAGAAAGAGGATCTCCTTGTCTAACTCCTCTTTGTGGCTAAAGCTCATCTTTTTCAAAACCAGCTGAATAAAGTCATGGTTTACTCTATCAAAGGCCTTTTGTTGGTCTAGAAGAAGAAGCTAATGTTGTTTAGATTGGTCTTTCTGATTTCTTAAGGTTGTAATAATGTTCAGTGCAGTGTCTATTATAGATCTTTCGGCTATAAATGCTTGTTGAGCTGGGCCGATTATTTGGTTACATATTGGATTGATTCTGTTTGCTAAAATTTTTATAAAAATTTTAGCATCTGAATTCACTAGCAATATGGGTCTCCAGTTGTTTACACTTGTTAGATCCTCTGCCTTCTTTAGGATTAAAGTAATTAGACTTTTGCTCCAAGATGTAGGTATTATTCCAGTGTTGAGAATGTTGTTAAAGAGCTTAGTTAGTATTGGTAATACTATTTCTTTTGTATTCTTGTAAAATTCATATGTTAGACTATCTGCTTCAAGAAACTTATTATTAGTAAGTTTGTCGATCATTTGGCTAATCTCTTCCTCTGAGATGGGCCTAGTTAGAGTGGTGTTTTGTTCAAGAGATACTTGTGCAAGATCTTGAGTGAAATAGAGAGCTGCTTCTCTGTTGATGTCCTCTCTCTTGTATATCTTTTGGTAGTATTCTTTAATATAATCTAAAATTTGCTCTTGTAATATCGTATCTGGTTTGTCTGGAATTCTTATTTTGAAACTGCAGGATCATGAATGTTTCTTTTTGTAAAGGACAAAGAAATATTTAGTAGATTTTTCTTCTTCTTCGATCCATTTGGCGTTAGATCTTAATCGCTATTTGTCAGATAAGAGAGTTAATTCTTTTTGTAGTTTTAGATTAACGTCTTTTATAACAAGTTTGAGCTCTTTAAGATTCAGATTTTTGATTAATTTGTTATTGAGGCCTCAAAGTGTTTTATGCAGCTTTTGGATATTCTTTTCTTGAGGAGGAATCGGTTTGAATGCTTTAATAATAGACTGGATAATGCATTTGTGTAGATCCCATTTTGCAGTGCTTTGTATGTTTTGAAGTTCTCTTATAATGTCCTTCTTAAGCTCTGGTATATTTCAATATTTTCTATCAAATTTCTATAAGGACTTAGTATTGTGCTTAGGTTTAAGGTTAAGTTTGCTTTCTACCAAAAGGTGGTCTGAATTTCCAAAGCAGATGCTGATGTTTGTATATAAGTTACTGAAGTTTGCTTTAATGAAGATATAATCTAAACGAGTTGCCATTCTTTGGTTGCCTTGTGTAGTTTAGTGATATGTAAGAAAAGGATTTTCATTTGAAAAGAGTGCTAAATCAGTATACTCTTCTAAAAGGTTCTCTAAGAGGCTTTTAGAACAGTCTTGATATATAGATGCTTGGCTTATTCTGTTTGTTTCTAGGTTTAAATTAGTGTTGAAGTCTCCAGCAATAATACAAATATTTCTAGTGATAGTGCTTAGAACCCAACTTTTAAAGAAGTTAATCCTATCCTCCAGATTAGGAGGAGCATATATGTTAGTGAATAGGAATGGTTGTTGTTTGATTTCTGTTTTAACAGAAGTAACTCTTTCATTATGTGATTCCTTCTTGTCTGTAAATTTGATATTTCTTTTGCCTGCTAGTATCGCAGTTTTGGGAGACTATATAGAGTCAAAACTCTGAATTTGTGATAAGAAATGTCTTGTATTTAAGTCTTTCAGATTGGTTTCTTATATCATAATTATGTCTAAATTATATGATTTTAAAAGAGTAAGAGTTTTTTGAGCCTTGGATCTGTTATTTAGACCCTTGACATTGAGCGTAGCAATTTTAATCATTAAAAAAAATTAAATAGTTTGTGTACTATACTAGAAGATAACTCTCTTAGTATCAGTTCTTAGATTCCAGAGGGTTCTGTCTAGAGTTCCTTGAAATTCTATAAGGTTGGCCCGTTCTGTGCTGATTTTTTTTAACAAATTTGCTTCAAAACTACAGTTGTAAAAGGAATCTCATCTTCATCTATAGGATTAGAGTTTAGTTTTTCTTCATTGTTACATAGATCTGATGTTCTTGTATTAGCAATAGAGTTTGAAGTGGTTGTGTCAACTAAAATGTCTAATTCTATATTGTTGACTGGCACTTCACTTGTACTTGATGCCTCTTCATGAACTTCGTTTAGAGTGGTAGATTCATTTTTGTCCTGTGTAGCTATATCCATATCACTTTTATATGGATTGTTTAAGCTAAAGCTAATTTCAGTAATATTGTTTTTCTGTGTTTTTTCTTTTTTTAATTGTGTTCTGGCTTCTCTAAGTCGTTGTCTAGCTTCCATTGAGGCTTAAGTTCATTGCAGTCCTTCTTGATATGCCCCTTCTTTTCACTGTAAAAGTATAATTTCAGAGCTTCTTTCCACTCTGTGGTTACTTTATGGTTGCCAATATGTGTGCTTCTAGGGATTCTTTTAGTTAGCTCTGGGTCTTCTGTAGTTTCGAAGGTAATTAACCATTGGTCAGAGCAGACTGTAGTTCCTTCGTAAAAGAGAGATTTAATAAATGCTATTTGACCAACATCTTGAAAAGCTCTAAGTATATGTTTACTGATATGCTCAGTATCACCTATTGGGGTGTTCTTCAATTTTATTGTGAGGAATAAGCGGTTGAGGTTGATTGGAATATATTCAAATAGTGTTTGCTTAAAAAGAGGAATGCTTTCGGCAGCGCAAAATTGAACCTTTTTCTCACTTCTAAGGATTATTTTTAAAAAGGTTCTTTTTTCTCTTAAAATGTGGGTCTTGGCTGCTATGAGATCGTTTTTCAAATTCATAGCTAATGCTACAATGATGTCGTTAGTTGGTATGTTGTTCAGGCTTTGGATGTCAACAATAAGTGCATTTTCGTTTTTAGAGTAAATTTTGTGTCTTGGAGTTGAGTTAGTATAAACTGCTTTTCCTCCTTTAAGTTTAGCAAATAGATCTGATCATTGTTTAGGTTTTGCTTCCTCATTTTGTTTACTTTCTTGTTCTGGTGTTAGGTTAGACAAAGATGGTTTAGCCGAAGTGGTTGATGCTAAGGAAGATGATTGGTTATTCAAAAACATGTGTTCTGTTTGTTTGTTGTTTACATTGCTCAATTTGTCTACATGGTTTGTTGTGTTTGCAGAGTTTATACGTGTTTCTTGTTGATTACAAGAATTTTTGTTTTTGCTTCTTTTTGTATTCGCTTGCT